GCAGAAAATGTAATAGTTTTGATCAATCACTTAAGCAACCTGTCTAGCTGATTGATTTTTTTTTATCAATCAAACATCTGGATTTAACAGTTGATTCAAGGACTTTAAGAGATTAACTACTAATGGGATGTGCACATGGAACAGCTGAAGCAAGAATTCATGATAAATGATGTTGGTGCAAGGTTACCAAAACATTGATATTTTCTATTTATTTCAGCAGGATTGGACCAAGCAGATAAATGGATGTGATAGAGTATTTAGTGGAAATATAAAAAAATGACCCAACTGTGAGGATCACGCTGCACGATAATGAGAAGCCAAGAGCATGACTTTAAAATCCAAAGAAAGCATCTGTTTCCCAACATCTGGCTTCACCTCTATGTGGACAAGTATTAAAGCCGAAGAAGTACATAATTTTTTGGAAAAAGAAATATTGCTCTAAATGGAAAAATATTTTAACAGGGCTATACAAGTAACTTCTTATTTCAAATATTCTAATTAATATCTTAGACCTCTGTTCATCTAATCTTTCTCTACTCCTAACGTCACTATGAAATGCATTAAGAATATTCCACCCTCACAGCAGCCCCATTGCAACTTCTCAAAGATTTTATAACCACAGATAAATCGAAGAGGTACCTCCATGAGTAGTTGATGATGTGGATCTTTTGAAGAGGATGCATTCATTTTATCATTGAGCTCAGACGATGCTTTCTCTGGTTCTGTTGCCAGTAGGGGGATAAGGTGAGTCTCCAGGTTTGGCTTAAACCCATCTGTATTTACTGTCCTAACAAAAACAAGCAAAAGGTGTCAGCGATGCCGCCAACATGATAACAATACACTCTTACAAGTTACCACAGTTGTTTAGTCGATGGGTTAGTATATTGGAAAGATGCAAAGAAAATTGAAAACAACATAGTACTTGGTCCTCAAGGAATCAATTAGAACATAGAAGAAACCTTGAGAGAACCAAAATAGTGAACATCATGCTTCGGGAAGCGCACTTATAAATAAAATAATAACTTCTAACTTTTGGAAACATTTGAAACTTGAAGATATACAACAAAACACTGAAAATATGAACTGTCAAAGTCAAATTAATGTTAGAACTTCTCCTGAAAACAGTAATTGTGAAATAGCTCCAAGGATAAAAGTTTTCTAAAAGAAGATAATGGATAGCATCTCAATTTGAAGGAAGAGGCAAGAGACGCATTTTCAGAATTAGCCACAGCCTATCTTCTTCTTCTTCAGAAAAAAAAAGTAACTTCATGGACGTTCAGATTTCTTATGAAGCACATATGGACATCCTAGAGAGAGAGAGAGATGCATATTCTTGCCATACTATCTCTATTCAACGTGCCAGAATTTCAAAAAAGCTCATGTAGTTTATAAATACGGAATTTCCTTTTTAACAGATGTTAAAGACATCTTGTAGTTTACTTAGTTCTAACCATCAATTTTCAAGTTGATAATGTCACAAGCCTCCCCAAAACTAACCAGAAACAACTTCAGAAGCAATATATGGGTGTGTGACTGTATAAATCACGGAATTGCGATTCACTCTTCACACACAATATAAATTTGGAAGCGCTAAACAGCGATCACTGCATTTTTAACCCAGAATATAGAATTGAACTTTTTGGATTAAGATGTAAGGAGAAACTTAAAGAAAAATTGAAGAAATCAAAATACCTGTTGAGATGAATGGCTAATGTAGGCACTCGCAATAGAGGTCTGTTAATTTTCACAAGTTTATGTGAAAAGGAACCATCGTCAGCTCTCAAAATGACTCTTCCAGCTAAACTTAGGTCCCTGTCAAACCAAGTGTGCCATAAACCACTGCCATAAGTTTGTACATTGACCATGAGATAGCCGGATTTGGACGAAGAAAACTTTGGCTTCAGTTTTAGACATGGGCTATCTGTATGTGCAGCAATCACATGAAAACCATTACCAATGGAATACCTGCAATACTAAGAAATGATTTTTTTATTTAATGAGACCATACTGAAAGAACAGGAAAAAGGTATCAGAATTAGACAGTCACATGTCACAAAAAATTAAAATCAGAAAGTACAATGATGAAAGAATAAGAGTCCCGTAGGAAAAGAAAGAACAAACGAGGAAAGTTTACTTTTAGAGAAGCTAAGCAATGCATAAAGACAACACAAGCAGATTTAGAAGAAACACAGCCCGTCCTACGATTTGTATCATTTAGCGTTCTAAAAGGCACAATATGTGGCGACGAGTGGAGGCTAAGCTATGGCTAGGCGAGCTTAGGTGGGGCATGGGCATAAAAAGCGTAAAAATAAGTTTTCTTATTTTAATTTTTAATCAATCAAAAATCATTTAATAATTAAAAATGATACCAACCAAACATCTAAAATAGATTCATAGGAATTTTATCCATTTTTTCGAAGTTTCCAACAAAAAAATAAGTTTCAAATGTAAATACTAAATTATAAATAAATAGAAATTTTTGGGAATTTTTCTTTGTTCAATTCTTCAAGCGACTGTTTTGATCCTAGGGTAGACGAAGTGAAGAAATAAGCCTTTTAGTCTTATAAATAAAAAGAAGAAGAAGAAGATAATAATGGCGTGCAAAATCACGTATAGGCGCGCATTAGCGGTCAAAGCCTAAATAAGGCGCCAAGCCACTTCGCTTGGCGTTTTCGCCGTTCATCGCACCTTTTAGAACACTGGTATCATTCATGCATCTATATGAAGTTCAATAGCCAGTTCCTCAGTTCATTTGGCATAATAATCTGCATGCTTGGGGGCTGGCAAGGATGTATTCTTTTACTAGTAATGGAGCTCTTAATGAGTAGGATGTATGCACTCACCTTTCCCCAATGGCAAATGCAACCAAAGAGGACATGTTACGAGTGAAAAAATAACGTCCACCAGGCTTCAGTACCCATTCTTCATTCTCATTCAACAAATGGAATCCAGCAGTGACAAGTTGTCGTTTTGCTTCAGCTACAAAGCATTTATATGTATAAGTGAGAAATCTATCATTACATAAATATAGAAGTGATTAAGTTTTCTATTTTGTTGTTATGGAACTTTGAAGACATGGTAACTGCAGATGCTATGCAGAGACTGTTGAGAACAATAAACAGGTGCAATTCCTACAGAAATTTCATATATTGCCGATGCTTTGATACACTAAACCAGAATCCAAAATAATTTTGAAAATTAGTTTTAAAACACAAGCCAGGTAAGATAGACAAAGGACTGCACATTTTTCTTCTAACATGTGAGAATGGCATATCAATTTTTATTCCCATATACGTGTTCTCTCAATCACTATGCCATCCTGCAATACCATCAGCTTATTCCTCGTGCACTATGCGATAAAGATCCGTTTATGCCTCTTCTGATTAAGGATATGATAGTGGCCTTTAAATATCAAGGCAAGTTATTTGTGCTGTAATAGGTTCATCTTCCTAACTCTTGCAAGTTTATCAATTCATTGTCATGGGAATATATAATCACAATATTCTTCATTCATTGACCCATTGCCCATTAACTCCTGTGATTAGCAATTAATATTTTGAGCGGCAAAGGCTGTGATGCTTCAACTCTCAAAATTTTTTTCTGTATGCATAAAACTTATTCCCTATAAGGTAAAGGTATCATGGTGCTATTTGCCCCTTGCAAGATCAAAACAGCAACATTCCAGTTTAACTCTATCAGCAGAAAAGGGTACAGAATTTTCTCCAATGATTCTTCAAATTGCAGTTTATTATCTGTTTTCATATGATCATGTCTAAAAACTACACGAATTCATTCACTTGATATTGTAGTTTCCCAACATCTGAATAGAACGTTTCCCCCGTATCTCTATTGAAACTCCTACGAGTAACCTAACAAGAGTTTCATACTCAAGGAATTATGGAACAATTGAGAGTGATCCCTGCATTTCAATTTTTGCCAGACAGCCAAAAAATGAATGCTTTAAAATTAAACTTGACATCTGAAAATAATCACAATAACTTTCTCCTTTATCTGAATTCTTACACCTCCTACTAATGAAACTATGAAAATGTAGTATCACCTTTTCATTTTCACAATTAAATGGAGAAAACAAATGCATTGCCAATTCTCAAGAAAAATAGTTATTCTAAGAACGAATTTTCTGAAGAACAAATCAAGTTATCTTAATTGAATTGAATCCACAATTCAGCCCTTCAAGAGTCTTTATGACTAATGCACCATAGGTTGACAAAGTAATAAAATTCTAACTAACTAAATGAAGTAGGCAACTGATTAACCTCCAAAATCTGTATTCCTATCCCACATGCAATATTGCATTTTAGTTTTATCACACCTATGGGAGAGAGAAAAAAAAAAAAGGCAAATGCGATACCTGTGGCGTGAAAATGTGTCCAAGACTCATTTAGATAGTCAAGAAGATCACCAACAATCGAATAGCTAGATTCGGCATTCGTACTACTGCTCTGCAAGGAAAAGAAGAAATAATAAAAAATGAGACATTTTTAAGCATAAATATAGTCTATTTCCACATACTCATAAATGATTATACTACAAGCATATAATTATAGAGAGAAAAAGTGTGAAATACCTCGGAGTTGGCGGCGACAGCTGAAGTGGTGGAGAGCTTACGGCGACGAGAGGTGCTCCCGGAGATATGACAATTGCAATAATTAGCGTTGAGTGTGAAGATTGGTGTGGAGGAGAGAGGGGATTTTGACAGGACTATGGAGGGTTTGATGAATGGGTATGGGTGGAGGAGTTGAAACCGAGCCATAGCCGCCATTTCTGCTGCAGTAACCTCCAACTCGATCTAAATGCTACGGACTTGTTAAAAACTCAGTTTGCCACCAAACTTTAAACATTTATTAATATTAGTCCCCGAAGTTTTTCTTTTAGATTTTTTTTTTTTTTTTTTTTTTTTAACTGGTAAGCATTTTTAGGCGCACAAACTAATTTTTTTTTTTTTTTAAATAAATACTTTTTATCTTAAGGTCGAAGAAAAATACTTCCTTTAGTCCTTGGGATGCGTAACCATAGCGTTCGTACAACAGGCGCATAAATTTCTCTCTCCAAATTCCTTCCAATAAAAACCCTAATTTTGCTTGATTTGTATTCTTTCTATTCATAATCCTCCAGATTTCTAGATCCGTTAATATATATGCTTTTGATGTTAATCCCATATTAGTCTTTGAAGAAATCCTAACATATCTCGAATTGATGGCGAAAGAATTCAACGTGCCTCCAGTGAAATTCCCCTCCGGCGGAAACCCTGCTGGCGGCGCCGCTGGCCCCCAGCAACGTCGCCTCCCTACCGCCCCCTTCCAACCCCCACGATCCGCTAACCCTAGCATTCCATTCATGTCATTTGATGTCAATTCTGCTGCCGCTTCGACTTCGTTTTCAACTCCTCAATTCCCCTCCACGATCTCCGCCGGCGGCGCCACCGGATTCGAGGACGAGCCACCACTTCTCGAGGAGCTTGGCATTAACACTAAGCAAATTTACCAGAAAACGATTTCTATCCTCAATCCGTATAGAATCAATGCCCATCTCCATGAAGATGCAGATCTCTCCGGCCCTTTCCTTTTCCTAATGGCATTCGGACTCTTTCAACTCCTTGCTGGAAAGTTCCATTTCGGGATAATCCTCGGATGGGTTACAATGGCATCATTGTTTCTATACGTCGTTTTCAATATGTTAGCGGGAAAGAATGGGAATCTCGATTTGTACAGGTGTCTTAGCCTGATTGGATACTGTATCTTGCCGATTGTGATACTTTCGGCTGTCTCGTTATTTGTGCCCCAGGGCGGGACGGTGATCTTGGTGTTGATGGGGCTGTTTGTGATATGGTCAACACGAGTTTGCACACGCCTGCTTGTTGAGCTGGCATCCTATGGGGATGAGCACCGAGGCCTTATCGCGTATGCTTGCTTCTTAATTTACATGCTTTTCTCTCTGCTCGTGATTTTCTGATCAAATCACTATTATCAATTTGAGTTGCATCTTATCAAATTCTTAGTCTATGTTGGGTCTTGTTTGCTAGTATTCAGAGGCTTTAAGTGGAATAGAAGCCAAATCATAGTTGGGTTGGACACTGAATCAACTTGTTTTGGCTGTCAAATGATTATAATGTGGTAGATAATGTGCTACACCTCAGAGATTTTGATTTTTGTACTTTAAGACATGGTTTACTCTTCATATTGTGAATGGTGATTGTGAAATGAGTATGCTACTTTTTAGGTGATGGAATCAAAATGGTTAGAAATAGCGGTAATCTTTAGCATATGTGCGCATGGTTTACCAGATTCTTTGTTAATTTTCTGTTAACATTATGATTTTCTCCATGTAATAGCTGCCAGAATCTTCAGTGGAAATGGATGCACGAGCCTTCATTATAGTCATCAACAAGATTTAAATTTACAGAAAGTTAAAAACGAGTGCATTTGTTGAGCAGGAAGATATCTTTTGTACGCGATTTAGTTTTCTGTTTAGGAAAAAGATGAAAGAGATCTAGGAGAAAAATTAATTCCAAAGGACCTCTAAAGATTTTGAGAACTTGCGAAGGCCAACAAATCAGAACTTACTCTCTCCCAAATCCAAAATGTTATGCTTCACATAAAATCAGTGTAAAGATCCTTATAATATATGTGACACTGTGATTTTTCTATTAGCGTCATTGTTAAAAACTATATGAGGCACATGCCTTGAGTTTCACCTCGCTTGAGACTCTCACATAATGCTCCTTGAGGCTAGCCTTAAGGTCACTAAGGTGTTCACACATTTATCGAGTGCCATTTCTAGGAATTTTATTTTTTGGTATTAGAGGATGATGACATAGAATGATAAAAATCTGATACCAATGGGGAGGATGATTGGAGAATAAAAAATATCGATGATTCCTTAAGCATCCTATTAGTAGTGATGGTACAGGATTAATTAATTAATTAATTTTTTTTTTTAATCCAACTTCACTTGTGCCAGATGGTGGGGAGGGGTTTTTGGATGGTTCCACTACATGTAGATCAATAATCAAGGGAAAACAATAGAGGGGGACATGAAACCTTTCGAGAGATAATTTAAGAGGAGAGAAGGAAATCTTGGATGGAAATTTAGCTTGTTGTCATACTCTACCTTCATTGCAAACAATCACAACAAACTTAAAACTTGTTTTATTATGGATAATTAAATGATTTTTTGTGTTATGAGCCTATTCTGTATTTTTATATCTTTTTAAATTATCTATTGGTTTGTGTCAAGGCTTACGCCTGGGAACACCTTGAGGCTTACATCTCGCCTCTAAGAGGTAAAGTGCCTAGATATTGGATTGAGGCCTTTCAGACATTGAGTGTACAATGTATGTGTATTCTTTGACATTCCCTGTATCCTTTCAGCAATATCGGACACCAATCAATCAAGACAAATTTCTCACATTTTAACCTTGCATGTTACTTGATCATAAATTAGCCTTTCTTGCCAAATATGTGCTAGTGTTAACCAACTTTATTTTAGAGAGAAAGAGGTGGGGTGTGAGGAAGGAAAATAGTCTCAACACTTTGTTTCCCTTTCAATCCTCAAGCAGTGAAGGGCAATGCTGCTGGCATCTAGTAGGACACTAGGATTATTTCAACTTTGACTCTCGAAGTACTTTCAATTCACAAAAGTATGTGAATTACTTTCATGCTTCACCACATTTTTCAGGGATTGGGCATTTTAGAATTCAAATTGTTTATATGATAGTTGTTGTTTTGAACTCTTTGGTAATTGTCCCTTCCATTCTTTTTTTGGTTTTCACATTTACAATCTTCTTCTTGAGCTCAATTTATTATTGCTAAATGCTGACGGGGTAATGTAGAATACAATTAATTATCCATCTGTTACATTCTAACTCCATTTTTAAATGAAGGATATGGCTACCTATCTTAGCAGTTTTCGCTAAAATAGTAAGTTTTTTATTTCAAAGAAAAAAATAAATCCCTTAAACATGTTTACAAACAAGAAATTGTTAATCCCAAAATGCTCTTAGCAAGGGAATACGATTCAAATTACAAATTGTATAAGAGTACAGAATCATGTCCAGCATTACGTTCTAGACAAAGATAATGTAAATGCAACAGTTCCAGCACACTGGCCTTACGAAAATAATCGTACCACAAAACTCCAACTTCTTTAATTTGGCAGTCCAGTTTCAGCATTTAGAAGCGCTTTAGTTTCATCATTAAGCAATACTGGACCTTTCCCAGGCCTCGTGCAGATGAAGTAACTAACATCCCCCTTGTATTTCTGCGCCGGAGTATTATCTTTAACCTCTGGAGGTGCAGCCAAAGCTTCAATGTCCTTCATGTTGTGAACCCCAGCATCTTCTAATATGGACTTGTCCCCAATAACATAACTAGAGAAAAGGAGGCATAATGGGAAAATACATTTCAGGGAATTAAAATTTACTGATTTCCAACAATAAAAATCAACATGGGACGGCAAGGAGTACCTGCTCAAATCAGTATCAGATTGGGGAGGGAAATAAAAGAGTAGCCTCTGAAGCAGAAGTTTAGCAGCATTTCTGTTATGCGCAATCAGAACTGCGTTTGGCCCGGCATCAAAAGTATAAGCCACCTGTTGAATATGTTCCTTGTTATTAACATATTTTGATCATACAAAACAAAAAATAACTGCAACTGCAAATATCACGACGCCAACCTATGAAATGGTTTGAATATTATGAAAGACAGGCTGGAAACCACTCCTTCAAAGGCCTTCCCTGAGCGTTGAACAATTGACTCAAAACTAGTTTAGACATGGGAATTCGACTGTTTAATTAAAATAATGCATTGCGATGGTTTGGTCCCCGTTGATTCTCACGCAATGTGATTTTTGTCTGGTGCTCCCCCAATGTCAAAGTGAAGAAGTTCAAACAAGTGCGGGTAAACAACGGGAGTAATTATGACTCTCTTAAGGTAACCAAATGCCTCGTCATCTAATTAGTGAAAATGAGCATGCACTCTAATTGCATTAGTAATGCATAAACTATATCAAGAGGAGAAATAAAAAAACCGATGTTTAATGGTCAATCACTTCCAAAGTGAACATAACAAGGAAAAAAGGCCGTTTTATCACATGGTTAAGGTTACATACTGACATTATATTAAGCAAATATCATAAAACATATAAAAAATGAAAGTTTCAAAGAAAAGACCAATGTTTGAACCAATGGAATTAGCTGTTTACGGCTAATATGTAGAAATTTAAAACCCTGTGCTTGTCCTATTTACACACTATAACCCCCCTCAAACTTGCTGAAGTTGCATATGTTTCCTTAAAAACCCATACAATTTGTAATGCATATTTCTAAACCACAAGCTTATTCCACGTTAAATTTAACAAGCAAATTATTTTATTGTAGAAAATTAGTCAGAACAGTTGCTGGTCAATAAAGTACTTGTTACTAACCCAAAACATACAGTAGAGAATTCTGAATCCTGGGGATAAGATACCTCAAAGTCTCAAACTATTTAATATCTATTGCAGTAACTTTGTACCCATCAGAGCCGTGTTCTGAAAATGTTCAGTAAATCATCAACAGTTTAAGTTTTAGCATTAGGAAGGTCTTATTGCAATATATATTTGTGTTCGATTATCATTTGTTGAAACTGTTACCCGCAAGAAGTAATAATTAGTAGATTATGTTGTCAAAACTACTATGGCAGCCAAATGCATCAGGAACAGGCACAAAGAAGGAAGACAAGGGAATGTCAATGTGGATACTCTCATACACCAAAAAAGATTTAAATAAACTATTCCTCTGCAGACAATTTTATAAGCAATTTTGGCTGTGGTATATTAATCACTTCTATTTTTCTGTTTCATTTTTTAAACTGATTAAGGATGGCAATTTATAAGCATCTTGTGAGCACATTATATGTTTGAATATAAACCAAAACTTGCATAGGAAAGTATTCAACAACCTGTGGTGTTCCTTCAAAGCGATTCCATTTCTCAATACAGCTGATTATCCTGAAAAGTTAAATGTCCTCATAAAATTAAATTTACAATTCAAAACAATTCCACTTAAAAAAGATGGATTAGCAATAAGCCACCCTCAAGGTAATTGAAATCTGAATTGGGAAAGAGTGCTCACCTATGAGATGTGTCATTCATATAGAATATTGGGGGCGAAGTATCCAGGCAGACTGCATGAAACTGATTACTATCTGAACAAGCTAGACGAGAAAAAGATGGAAAATCGTGATCTTTTATGGCTTCCTCCATTTGAATTATGCGTCTTGGTACAACTTCCTGTAACAATTCAGTACTTAAATGAGCGAGGTGGGCATTCTAGGTCTCATCATCACAAAGATCAGAACTCAGGAGGAAAAAGCAAATTTTAGAAGGCCTTCAAAAATCACTAAGGAAGAATAAAGAAATTTTGAGGACAAGATTCACAAAGCTTTAAGATACTAGGGAGGACCATTATTTCACCTTCGCTCTATGTTCTATAAGCATACTGGTTTCAACAGTCTCACGCATCCCTGAGGTGCTACTAGTTTCCTTCTGACGAGAACTAACCTGAAATCAAGAGAAATAATTTCAAACTAAAGAAGATTTTTTCAGAATAGTTATCATGGGGAACATAAGTATGAGCAAATTTTTTTATCTCAAAAGAAAGAACCCTGTTTGCTTTTTCAAGCGTCTGAGTCAGGAAAGCAAAGAGAAATTTATTTTCAGAGGGTAATTGCAATTACTCTTCAGCTTGAATAGAAAAAATATAATAATATACCATATGGTTTGTTACTTCAGAGTTACAGTTCGAATATAAAAGTAAGCGTCGTTAGCAAAAATTACTACAAAATTCAAATCACACATCTGGGACGTGTGAGTAGCATATCCAGAAGGACAACACCTGCCACCGGTGAGACAAAAGAAGCAGCTCGCTGGATAAAATTCAGGAGGCCAGATGAAGCTGTTGGCCAATGAAGGGCTACAACATTGTTCAAGAAAGAAATAGGTTTCAGGCTTTAGTGAGCATCCACACCTGAGCAAGTGGCTTTAAGAGTGAAAGGGCTGAATATGGAAAAGCCGAAAACTGGGAATGCTTTGCACAGGGTCATTACTTCTTCAAAAGAGACTCATACGGCCCAAGTCAAAATAAAAGTAATATACTATCTCAAGTATTCTGGTTTTTAATCTTAGCATGAAAAATCAGAAAGGTATATATTGAGCTTCAATAAGGGTGGTAGAAAGTGTTCACTTGCCAGCAACAGGTTTGGAAACCCTCTGCGTCCTGCTGTTTCAAATCCGAATCATGTGATGTTGAGCAATATCCACTAGAAAACCGTATAGTGCTGGTCTTAAAGGACAAGAATATCTGCCTTAATTTTCATCCGGGAGGAATAGAAAGGTTTATGCAAGTTTCTAGATGTGCCTTTTGGCCAAATGGAGGAAGGTGTAACTGCATAACTGCTAGGCACTCAAAGAAGATGGAAGAAAGAGTGGAGACTGACGATGAGAACAACATGAAGGAGGAGGCTACAATTGAAGGTATGAACTAGAAGTTACGAGGTTGGAGAGCTTAGTAAACTATGCTACGATGGAAGAAAGAGTGGAAGTGCTGATATTGGAAAAAAACATCGGAGTTGGCCCTCACCACTTTTTGGCAAAATATCAACAAAATTATGATTTACCAAAAAATATTATGAGAACATTTATAAACCAATTTTTGTATCAAGTCATTGGTTTAGTCATCAACACATACTACTGGTAAATGAGCAATTACTAAACCAAAACTTAACCCAAAAAAAATTTAAAAAAATGAAATTCTGTAGTAAAGTTGTCTGCTTTAATATTTTTCCTATACTTGCACCCTTTTTGTCATAAAAATAGAACTGCAGCCCAAACAACAAAATTGACTGATAGTTTTTCGTATGTAGTAGTTACTCAATGTTCCACAATGCCAAAGAAGGCAATATTGTTTGGACTAGAACAGAATGAGGACAAATATAGTAAAGTCATTATAATGGAATTCACAACCGGTGAAGTAGATAAAAGAAAAGAAGCCAAATTGATTGCTACATGAAGTTTCCCAAAATTAGTGTTTTGAGAGGAAAAAAAAAACTAGAAACATAAAAGACTATCTATAATTTATGATCTTTTACCGCTAGCAGAATGGTGTGCTTAAAGATGATAAGATTAATTGCAATAGAGAGGGGGACCATACAACAGCAATAATAATCACAAGATCGCCCCAGTGCTTCTCATCTGCAAGTTGAACAGCAATGTCTTTTTAAATTATCTATTGGTTTGTGTCAAGGCTTACGCCTGGGAACACCTTGAGGCTTACATCTCGCCTCTAAGAGGTAAAGTGCCTAGATATTGGATTGAGGCCTTTCAGACATTGAGTGTACAATGTATGTGTATTCTTTGACATTCCCTGTATCCTTTCAGCAATATCGGACACCAATCAATCAAGACAAATTTCTCACATTTTAACCTTGCATGTTACTTGATCATAAATTAGCCTTTCTTGCCAAATATGTGCTAGTGTTAACCAACTTTATTTTAGAGAGAAAGAGGTGGGGTGTGAGGAAGGAAAATAGTCTCAACACTTTGTTTCCCTTTCAATCCTCAAGCAGTGAAGGGCAATGCTGCTGGCATCTAGTAGGACACTAGGATTATTTCAACTTTGACTCTCGAAGTACTTTCAATTCACAAAAGTATGTGAATTACTTTCATGCTTCACCACATTTTTCAGGGATTGGGCATTTTAGAATTCAAATTGTTTATATGATAGTTGTTGTTTTGAACTCTTTGGTAATTGTCCCTTCCATTCTTTTTTTGGTTTTCACATTTACAATCTTCTTCTTGAGCTCAATTTATTATTGCTAAATGCTGACGGGGTAATGTAGAATACAATTAATTATCCATCTGTTACATTCTAACTCCATTTTTAAATGAAGGATATGGCTACCTATCTTAGCAGTTTTCGCTAAAATAGTAAGTTTTTTATTTCAAAGAAAAAAATAAATCCCTTAAACATGTTTACAAACAAGAAATTGTTAATCCCAAAATGCTCTTAGCAAGGGAATACGATTCAAATTACAAATTGTATAAGAGTACAGAATCATGTCCAGCATTACGTTCTAGACAAAGATAATGTAAATGCAACAGTTCCAGCACACTGGCCTTACGAAAATAATCGTACCACAAAACTCCAACTTCTTTAATTTGGCAGTCCAGTTTCAGCATTTAGAAGCGCTTTAGTTTCATCATTAAGCAATACTGGACCTTTCCCAGGCCTCGTGCAGATGAAGTAACTAACATCCCCCTTGTATTTCTGCGCCGGAGTATTATCTTTAACCTCTGGAGGTGCAGCCAAAGCTTCAATGTCCTTCATGTTGTGAACCCCAGCATCTTCTAATATGGACTTGTCCCCAATAACATAACTAGAGAAAAGGAGGCATAATGGGAAAATACATTTCAGGGAATCAAAATTTACTGATTTCCAACAATAAAAATCAACATGGGACGGCAAGGAGTACCTGCTCAAATCAGTATCAGATTGGGGAGGGAAATAAAAGAGTAGCCTCTGAAGCAGAAGTTTAGCAGCATTTCTGTTATGCGCAATCAGAACTGCGTTTGGCCCGGCATCAAAAGTATAAGCCACCTGTTGAATATGTTCCTTGTTATTAACATATTTTGATCATACAAAACAAAAAATAACTGCAACTGCAAATATCACGACGCCAACCTATGAAATGGTTTGAATATTATGAAAGACAGGCTGGAAACCACTCCTTCAAAGGCCTTCCCTGAGCGTTGAACAATTGACTCAAAACTAGTTTAGACATGGGAATTCGACTGTTTAATTAAAATAATGCATTGCGATGGTTTGGTCCCCGTTGATTCTCACGCAATGTGATTTTTGTCTGGTGCTCCCCCAATGTCAAAGTGAAGAAGTTCAAACAAGTGCGGGTAAACAACGGGAGTAATTATGACTCTCTTAAGGTAACCAAATGCCTCGTCATCTAATTAGTGAAAATGAGCATGCACTCTAATTGCATTAGTAATGCATAAACTATATCAAGAGGAGAAATAAAAAAACCGATGTTTAATGGTCAATCACTTCCAAAGTGAACATAACAAGGAAAAAAGGCCGTTTTATCACATGGTTAAGGTTACATACTGACATTATATTAAGCAAATATCATAAAACATATAAAAAATGAAAGTTTCAAAGAAAAGACCAATGTTTGAACCAATGGAATTAGCTGTTTACGGCTAATATGTAGAAATTTAAAACCCTGTGCTTGTCCTATTTACACACTATAACCCCCCTCAAACTTGCTGAAGTTGCATATGTTTCCTTAAAAACCCATACAATTTGTAATGCATATTTCTAAACCACAAGCTTATTCCACGTTAAATTTAACAAGCAAATTATTTTATTGTAGAAAATTAGTCAGAACAGTTGCTGGTCAATAAAGTACTTGTTACTAACCCAAAACATACAGTAGAGAATTCTGAATCCTGGGGATAAGATACCTCAAAGTCTCAAACTATTTAATATCTATTGCAGTAACTTTGTACCCATCAGAGCCGTGTTCTGAAAATGTTCAGTAAATCATCAACAGTTTAAGTTTTAGCATTAGGAAGGTCTTATTGCAATATATATTTGTGTTCGATTATCATTTGTTGAAACTGTTACCCGCAAGAAGTAATAATTAGTAGATTATGTTGTCAAAACTACTATGGCAGCCAAATGCATCAGGAACAGGCACAAAGAAGGAAGACAAGGGAATGTCAATGTGGATACTCTCATACACCAAAAAAGATTTAAATAAACTATTCCTCTGCAGACAATTTTATAAGCAATTTTGGCTGTGGTATATTAATCACTTCTATTTTTCTGTTTCATTTTTTAAACTGATTAAGGATGGCAATTTATAAGCATCTTGTGAGCACATTATATGTTTGAATATAAACCAAAACTTGCATAGGAAAGTATTCAACAACCTGTGGTGTTCCTTCAAAGCGATTCCATTTCTCAATACAGCTGATTATCCTGAAAAGTTAAATGTCCTCATAAAATTAAATTTACAATTCAAAACAATTCCACTTAAAAAAGATGGATTAGCAATAAGCCACCCTCAAGGTAATTGAAATCTGAATTGGGAAAGAGTGCTCACCTATGAGATGTGTCATTCATATAGAATATTGGGGGCGAAGTATCCAGGCAGACTGCATGAAACTGATTACTATCTGAACAAGCTAGACGAGAAAAAGATGGAAAATCGTGATCTTTTATGGCTTCCTCCATTTGAATTATGCGTCTTGGTACAACTTCCTGTAACAATTCAGTACTTAAATGAGCGAGGTGGGCATTCTAGGTCTCATCATCACAAAGATCAGAACTCAGGAGGAAAAAGCAAATTTTAGAAGGCCTTCAAAAATCACTAAGGAAGAATAAAGAAATTTTGAGGACAAGATTCACAAAGCTTTAAGATACTAGGGAGGACCATTATTTCACCTTCGCTCTATGTTCTATAAGCATACTGGTTTCAACAGTCTCACGCATCCCTGAGGTGCTACTAGTTTCCTTCTGACGAGAACTAACCTGAAATCAAGAGAAATAATTTCAAACTAAAGAAGATTTTTTCAGAATAGTTATCATGGGGAACATAAGTATGAGCAAATTTTTTTATCTCAAAAGAAAGAACCCTGTTTGCTTTTTCAAGCGTCTGAGTCAGGAAAGCAAAGAGAAATTTATTTTCAGAGGGTAATTGCAATTACTCTTCAGCTTGAATAGAAAAAATATAATAATATACCATATGGTTTGTTACTTCAGAGTTACAGTTCGAATATAAAAGTAAGCGTCGTTAGCAAAAATTACTACAAAATTCAAATCACACATCTGGGACGTGTGAGTAGCATATCCAGAAGGACAACACCTGCCACCGGTGAGACAAAAGAAGCAGCTCGCTGGATAAAATTCAGGAGGCCAGATGAAGCTGTTGGCCAATGAAGGGCTACAACATTGTTCAAGAAAGAAATAGGTTTCAGGCTTTAGTGAGCATCCACACCTGAGCAAGTGGCTTTAAGAGTGAAAGGGCTGAATATGGAAAAGCCGAAAACTGGGAATGCTTTGCACAGGGTCATTACTTCTTCAAAAGAGACTCATATGGCCCAAGTCAAAATAAAAGTAATATACTATCTCAAGTATTCTGGTTTTTAATCTTAGCATGAAAAATCAGAAAGGTATATATTGAGCTTCAATAAGGGTGGTAGAAAGTGTTCACTTGCCAGCAACAGGTTTGGAAACCCTCTGCGTCCTGCTGTTTCAAATCCGAATCATGTGATGTTGAGCAATATCCACTAGAAAACCGTATAGTGCTGGTCTTAAAGGACAAGAATATCTGCCTTAATTTTCATCCGGGAGGAATAGAAAGGTTTATGCAAGTTTCTAGATGTGCCTTTTGGCCAAATGGAGGAAGGTGTAACTGCATAACTGCTAGGCACTCAAAGAAGATGGAAGCAAGAGTGGAGACTGACGATGAGAACAACATGAAGGAGGAGGCTACAATTGAAAGTATGAACTAGAAGTTACGAGGTTGGAGAGCTTAGTAAACTATGCTATGATGGAAGAAAGAGTGGAAGTGCTGATATTGGAAAAAAACATCGGAGTTGGCCCTCACCACTTTTTGGCAAAATATCAACAAAATTATGATTTACCAAAAAATATTATGAGAACATTTATAAACCAATTTTTGTATCAAGTCATTGGTTTAGTCATCAACACATACTACTGGTAAATGAGCAATTACTAAACCAAAACTTAACCCAAAAAAAATTTAAAAAAATGAAATTCTGTAGTAAAGTTGTCTGCTTTAATATTTTTCCTATACTTGCACCCTTTTTGTCATAAAAATAGAACTGCAGCCCAAACAACAAAATTGACTGATAGTTTTTCGTATGTAGTAGTTACTCAATGTTCCACAATGCCAAAGAAGGCAATATTGTTTGGACTAGAACAGAATGAGGACAAATATAGTAAAGTCATTATAATGGAATTCACAACCGGTGAAGTAGATAAAAGAAAAGAAGCCAAATTGATTGCTACATGAAGTTTCCCAAAATTAGTGTTTTGAGAGGAAAAAAAAAACTAGAAACATAAAAGACTATCTATAATTTATGATCTTTTACCGCTAGCAGAATGGTGTGCTTAAAGATGATAAGATTAATTGCAATAGAGAGGGGGACCATACAACAGCAATAATAATCACAAGATCGCCCCAGTGCTTCTCATCTGCAAGTTGAACAGCAATGCTGTCACTTCCATTTTCCTCCTGCAGAGATCAAGGAAAAAGAAATTAAAAAAATAACATCAAAGGGAAGCATGCTACATATAAAGAAATCCACCTAGATGGAATTTATAAACTGATCGTACTTTTCCCATGATCCACTTGACAAATCCACCATACAGGCTGCGACAAGCACTTCCTGAACCTTGCCTGGAAGTTAATGCACAAACTATCATTTTCTCGTGAATTCCAGGCAAAATTTTTTAGTCATCTTCTATGAGAATTCAACACACGTCTTTAAATCATAGTTGGAGAAAAGACAATAAATAACATTTGCCTATGTCCCATAAAACTCAGCCTAAATCCTCAGAAATGATAGAAGAATCCAGATAGGTTAGTTCTCATTTTCAACTGAAAATAAGACAAGTATAATACTACAATGGTCTAAAAGAAGTTTACATGAGGATAAGCATTTACCTTGCTATAGCAGAAAGTTTACTGTGATCTTCTTTCACATTCATCAACTTAGCAAGAGAAAACACTGTAAGGAGCAAAGTACAAAGATTAGGTGCTTTAATTTACATTTCATATCTAAATACTTCAGAATGGAATACAATTCCTATAATTGGCTGAAGCAAAGATAAATAACACTTGGGTTTCAATTACTATTTGATGATTGCATATCACAACCATTCTATCTTCATTCCTAATCTGATTCGGCAATTAATTTTACGCAAACAAATGAGAATCTCTATACCTTACACTTCCCATTTAATGGCTAATCAAACAAGTTTGTTACATATCCTTCTTTTGCTCTCACCAAGGTTATTTTTTTTTTCCATTCCCTAATTACCTGAAGGTATTATCCATTAATAGGCATGCTCTATACTGTCTAATTTGGAGGCCTTGTACATGCATCATAACCTGGTAACAAGTGAAAAAATTAATAAAACATTTAAAATACTGTCTGATTTATAATGATTTCACCCTTGAAATCTGTATATATGCATGCATCAACTTCCAACCTCTTAAAATAGGTCAAGATTTAAATCATTATTCACGTGTTCAAGTCATGAAAATATATCCTCAGCGCGGGAAGTTGAAACTTTCACAAATAACAGAAAGATGTAGTCCATAAAGTAAGTTTTCCATCTCTTATAACTTGATGGAGAAATACGCAAGTAGTATAATGTCAAGAAAAAGGACAATTATTACATAGTAAAATAAAAGTTGTAAACCATTCAACAATCACCAAAGCTTACACCGAGAGTCAAATAGAATTAGTAAATCGTTTAAAATCGATGAAGTACTCTACGAAGTATATTATTTTCCTTTCTTTTCAGTCAAACCAACACAAGTATGCGGTGTGTATTTATGCATAAAAATAAAGTCCAATTAAGGAAGGGAGCCTAAGAATACAAGGGAAAGGCCTCGAAGGCACAATAGCTAAGAAAAAAAATTAAGGACTATTAAAAGTAAAAGGCTTAAGAGCCCAAATCAGATGCAAAGGCCATGGCCATCAATTAAAAAAATTTGCACTAAGATCCAGATCATTGGTGTGAAGTGGGCAGTATCCAAAATCTCGGATTGAATGTCCACCATGTCTTCTTTCCACTTTTAATGAGTTTGTAGATAAACCACTTGGAATGAGATCATGTCAAGTTAACATGACTCATTTTTACTTATTTGATGTTATTTCTCCCTAAGATGAAGAAGGTTTTACTTTGAATATCTGACAGAAAATTTCATTTTGATTCATGTCTTGGAATGCTCAGTATTAAAAGCTGTTAGAAGATCAACCATACAATATAGAAAACAAGTATTATGCTACGTCATTCACACAGGAATAACTGAATGGGTTAATGTTACCTAGGCAAGCAAAACCTGCAGCTGATGAAGCCAAACCAGCAGCAGTAGGGAAATTGTTATAGGAAGCAATGTGCACGTGCAGTTTCTCCCAATCCTTCTTTGCAATCTTAATACCCTTCTCCTCATCCTCAACATCGCTAGCACGAGCCCGAAGTTCCCTTAAACAATTTTGGTATCTTCCTCCGGAAAGGGATATTTCCTACACTAACCAGGAATTCATACAAAAACCCCGATATCAGAATCTCTTATATTTTACATTGTCATTTCTGAAAATCTTAAGGAAGAGAAACCTACATAGTACGACAAAACCAAACAAAATTATACAAGGATGAATGACAGATCAAAATTTACTGCCACGTAAACATTGGTATTTCCCGTTATTTAAGTGGTTTCAATAATTTAACTGAAAAGTTTGAAAAATGAAAAATAATGTCAATAAGGTAACCAATCTAGTATTGTAAGTCTACATTAAAAAATAAATCAAATGAACTGACATTTAATAGAAGCTGAGATATATGACTGGTTTACTTTTTCTTTCTGTATCATTAATGTAACAATTCACGTATTAATTTATAATACATGAGAATTAAAGCATTTCATTCTTGTGAATATTCATTCATCTTTTCGTCACTTCCATATCATTCACCTCCATTAAATAATGGTTTTGCTGGTCAACAATAAACTTAAAATGAGATAGAAACCCATACAAGATGCCAACTCAAAGCAAATTAAAAGAACCTGTAATTTATAGTCAAATAATTCTTATGCTATCCTTTTCCATTCCAAGTATTTAAAATCACCCGTCCCCCTCTCGCCAAATCTCTATCCCCTAAAAATTGGAAAAGGCAAATGAATTAAACAGAGCAAAATTAAAAGGGGAAAGTAGAGTGCTGGATAGATAAATTCTCACTTTCTACTAGAAAGTATGCAGTAACTGCTTCTCTCGAAATTGGCATATAGTAGTAACTGTCAAATTCCAACATACATTCACACATGGGCGGAGGTAGTGGGGGGGCATGCTGGGCTGTAGCCCAGCACTACTCCCCAGCCCATATAAAAAATTAAGAAGAAAGTGTAGAGTTTTTGTTCAAATGTTAGCATTAGCCGACTACTCCCCAAACCATATAGAAATTTAAGAAGAAAGTGTAGAGTTTTGGCCCAAATATTAGCATTAGTCCAACTCTAGCTTGAATCTTAACCCAAGTCCAATGTTCAATTATTTAAATTGTATAAAAATACTAATTATTAATTACTCGTTTCATGAAATTCATAAAATGTGAATATTTTATTGTCAAATTAGATATTCTATTTAATGTATGTTTGACTAAAATTTACTTTTAATTATTAAGTAAATTTTATTGAAGATAATTTGTATTGATTAAATTTAAAAGTAAATTACTTATTTTAATAGTTAGAGACACTACATATTTTTCAAAATTTAAAAGTGATTATTATTTTTTATTTCTACGTTTGTTTTTATTTATTATTTATTCATATTTATTTAAAAAAATTACTTATTTTGACCATAAAATAGATATTATGATTAAAATAAATAACTTACTATAGATTTGATATTGACAATAAAATAATATTTGATAAAATTTATCTATTTATGAAGTAATATAGATACGAGTATATTCTTGAAATCGAGCAGAAATGGACGTGAATTAAATTTAATTTCTTTAACCCTTGAAATTCTTAATTGGCTTTTCTTACTTTGATTGAGATTCTTCACTCGCTTTGAAATGCAATGATATAAAAGATCGATGAAAACGCCAAATAACATTTTGAGACAATAACATATGGATTATAGTGATATATTATTGATTGCATGTTTCAATCAAGTTTCAGTTGTACGAAAAGATTTGTTGTAAAAGTTATTAGAAGAGTACTTATTCAGTATTTTTAAAATTTTTCATTTGTTTATTTTTATCATGATTCAGTTAGTTTATATTTTTTAAAGTAAGCGTTTGGTAAAAAAATACAAAGATTTAGTAAAATATATTAATGTGAGACATCTAAACTTTTTTTTTTTTCATTGAGTGTCGTATACTTTTTATTGTGAATGCCACAAGAAGAGCTTCCGAAACCAATTTCTTGTGGCGTAAGTTCATTAAAAAAAATTTTAAGTTTCAGTCCATCCTAACATCATTTTCTAGCTCTGCCCCTGCATTCACACTCAAAGCATAACAACAAAGACGCGAAGACAGAAAGGGCAAAAATGAAAATTCAAATATATCAAAACACCCACGGGGAAAAAACTAGAGTACTATTCATTCCAAAAGTAAAGCTCAGGACTTTTCCACAACCTCACACCAATAGAAGGCCCACCCAATCAATTTGTTTTCTCTTTTCCATTTTTCTTAATTTTCTCAACAAGTTTTTGGCCTTTCTCTATTTCAAATCTATCATATAATAGACGAAATCACCAGAAAGCCTATAATCCTACTGAAAATTATTGAAACTTTTTGACCTAGATAAATTAATTGTAGAGAATCACCAGGCTGAAATATTGAGAAGTCACATGGATTAATTAGCTGATATACTGGTAAAACAACAACAATTATACAATCATATTAAAAAAACAAACAAATACATAAATATATACCTTTCCATTGAGCCACATGCGGTCGTGGGTGAAGGCGGGGCTGACGGCAACGGAGGTGGTGGTGCATAGGTGCTGCGGATCGAGAGTGACACTGATGCTATCATTAATAGGCAGTATCAAATTCTCGTCCCTCTTTCCCCAGTACTTTATCACCGCTATATTCGTCGGCGTTTGTGCCGTCACCATCAACACCCATTTCTCCGCCATTTTCCACTTGAATAAATTGCGTGAATCCCGATGCTAGAGAAAGAAACAACTGTGTGTAGAATCAGATTTCAGTACTATGGGATGCCTCTCTCTATTTATATATATGATGTGGACGTATAAATAGTTTTCTATAGGTAATTGGCGCAAAAAGTCATTGCCTTTTAAAGTTACCGTGGAAAACGTTCCTATTTTTAATTTTTTATCATTTTTGCCCCTATTTTCATCTTTCTTTGCGTTGAACGTCCTTTTCACTTTTTTTTTACAATTTTACCCTCCATTCAAATCAAACAAAAAGAAAAGAAAGAAAAAAACAAATAAGAATTGCAACCACAATCTCAAAATTTCAAAAAACTACAAATCATTCACAAATATAGGAGGCCAAATATGAAGCCCCATTCCGACACCTTTTGGCCACCAAAACCATCGGACCAATACACCACCTTGAAGCCCTCGTTGCCCTCTATACAGCCCATCCTAGAATCGCCCCTACCTCCATCGAATTTGATCGGAATTTCCTTTCAAAACCATCTGTTCGCATCACACAAAACTGTCTGCAACTCCATCTTCGACGACTCCCAGCCCAATCCCATCATACTGGTAGACTCCCCTCATCATGGCGCACCTAACCATGGTCACCAAACACCTATTGAACTACCCAATCAATAATTGCAGCCACTATTTTCGCACGCAGTCAACATGCAAACTTTAGAAGCTATTTCTGACAACGGTGGTCGATATCTTGATAGCGGACCACCCCATCCAGATGGCAAAGCTATTCCACCTATGGGTCTTTCACAATTTGGTGCAAATCTTGCGATCCACTCCGGTATAGTTCATACGCAAGCGGGTTTAGATTTCCCTTCAATTGAGACTTTGAAACTACTTCAACCTTCAAATCAACTTAGGGAAATGATTACTTTGTGCCAAACATCGATGGTTATACCGTCAATTCATCCAATTCATCATCCAAGCTCGAAAGCCTGTTTCGACCGTATACAAAAACACGACTCAATCAATTGACGGGGCTGCAATGCCTAACTCCATCAATTCGTCTAGGGATATTGCAATTCAGGCATAAAAAATAGTGGATGCACAATCAATTCCAGAAATTATAGCACCAATTGATCCAATTTTGCAGCCAAACATCACCTTTGACCGACGAAAAACTGAATGGGGCTTCCCTCCTATATTTTTGACTGATTTGTAGTTTTTTGAAATTTTGGGATTGTGGTTGCAATTAGTTATTTGTTTTTTTCTTTCTTTTCTTTTTTTTTTGATTTGAATGGAGGGTAAAATCGTCAAAAACAGTAAAAAGGACGTTCAACGCAAAGAAAGGTGGAAATAAGGGCAAAAATGCCAAAAAATGAAAGGTATGGACGTTTTGTACAATAACCTTGAAAGGTAGAGACGTTTTGCGTCAATTACCCGTTTTCTATATATAAAGGTTGAAACCCAACCTTGAGGGCCCCTATCGTCCCGTCACTAAAACTTTTTGAGGGAGGTAAATCGCGAGATGTGCTCCATCATGATAGGGAACAAGAGTTGCCTGTACACTGCGCCTACAAGGAGTCCAATTTCATGTCTCAAAAATTGAACCCCCACACTGCAGTTGTCAGCAAGTTGTGAGATAATCCCACTCCTATCCTTTGCACCACTGAACTATGCTCGGGGGCAGTTTTCTATATATGAATATGCGTGAGTGTGTATAGACTCATAAATGGTCGTAGAGAAGAACCTCCATTGTTGAATGAAAAAGTTTGTTTATAGTTGAAAGTTAGGAAGGTGTGGGGTCCAAAAAAAGTCTACAGAAGTTTGGCACCTAAATGTTGACTTTTCGTGGACTGAATTCTAATTCATTTTCATTGATTCTTTGTTGACCGCAATTTGATCGACTGATTAAAATACGATAGTTAATTTTGTTTATTTACCTTTCTTCTAGCTTGTTTTGTCAAAATTGCACCACTCTTTGTGATAAGAAATAAATTGCTTATTTAAAAATTAAGCACCAAAGAAGTATGTAGCGCACTTCCTCGGACTAGAGGAAAAGGGAGTGCTCTATTTTCCCCAAACCCCAAGAGGATATTTCAGCTCCATTCAGCCTGTCAAATCAAATGATCAGGTCAAATAATACGGCAATTTCCAATGTAAGTTTTGTTTCACTCACATTTTCTATGTTTACAGTACCAAATTATATTGACAAAAAAAATGTATTTTTGTCAATTGTGAAGTTTGTGTTAGTGTGTAATAGCAAATATCATTAATTTTAAATACGTAACCATGAACCATCAAGACTCAATTAAGCCCCCATTTGGCCCCTATTATTTTTTATTATAATGGGAGGAATAGTATTTTTTTTAAAAATAAATTGTTGTAAAAGAATGAAAACTTTTCGATTTACATGCAATATTATTTTATTGAAGATTGTGTAGTTGAAAATAGGAGTGAAAAATTTAATTTAATTTGATGAGATTTAATGAATGTCAAATGGAGGCTAATTTGCTTTCTGTAAGTACTTGTACAGTTCAATCGCTAAGCAATCTCACCATTCATGGTTGATTATAATTTTAAAGTCAAAAAAAACCCCCAAAAAAAAAAAAAAAAAAAAAAAAAAAAAAAAATTCCCATTTGACAACCATTAGTTGAAGAAATGGAAACCATTACTATGGTACTAAAGTAGCCAACAAAACAGTTATCATAATAGGCATAGGTAATCAATGTGACTTTGAATTACTCCTGCTGTCAGGTCCCATATCACTAATGAGAAATCAATGTCTAAGTACTTGGTTGCAAGTGAAAGAAACTTTTAGAAGACGATACAATACTCGTTGTTTAAATTGGTAAGAGAAGTACGTGCAAAATTCATCATAAATAGATTAAAAATTGCATTCTTGTAACATATAATGTAGTGTTTATGAGGTTTAGCTCAGACATTGCATGGCACGAACCATGCCATAGGCCAACCGAATTGGAACTTGCAGTCTCGAAGAATTTTACATAAGTTGGGCAACAAGGGTCATCTCAAAATTGGGCCATGCCAACTCAGTATGACCCAAATTACATCAATAAGAGAACAGAGCCCAAGAGGCAGTAATACGCTACAGTAGGATAAATAAGTCCTTGACAAATAGCAAACTGATATCATTTGTTCGTAAACTATAAATCAATTCTAGTAAATCAAATCGTTTTTAAATTAAAAGATATTTTGTTTTACAATGCAACATGCCAAATAAAGTGTCACTAAGCACCAGCTAAATGGAAATCATGGTAGATAAAAAAGTTGCAAATTAAATTCACTTTAAAAACTAGGTGTGTCAAAATTTGGCATTAAGAATTTACTGTTACATTCACTTACATGCTAGAAACTAACATTTAGTCTGAATCTGGATCCCCATCAATGATATCAGGAATTGAATCCAATGATAATTCATTATCAGATTCACCTGTCAATCCTTCGCTTTTCTCGAAATTGGATACTAGTGTAGCAGATATTTTTTCTATTATAGCATTGAATCCACCGTCTTCGGTTCCCGACACATTCTTTTCGGCATTTTCATCACGTCCTGCAGTGATTACAGCATCACTTATCATTGCAGTATCATTAGCAACCGGAGCCATCTTAGTGTCCATTGGATCTAATGCGTCACTATTGGAAACTACCCTACTAGTATGACCACCGGGATAATCTCCAGCTGCTGTATTTGGCACATGTTCTCCCAATTTGTCACCACCAGTACTATTTGTTTCTTGTAATTCAACCATAACATCGTCCCTATCAACTGCAATTCTCTCATTGGCACCAGATGATGACACCCTCAGTTCACTTTTGTTGGGAAGATTCACCAGCGAAAGAGATCTTGCAGCTGCAGAGGGTTCTGCGGTATAATTTGTGTTCCTTTCAGTAACTGGAACTTCTTCCATTTCATCATCACTTCCAAGCCAATTTTTATATAGTTCATCGTCTGATTCATGCTCGGCAATACCTTTCCCAAGTGTCCTGATCTGAAATGTAACATTCTCTGGAACCTTGCGGCTCAGATCTTCATAGTTGTCATTGGCGGTAGAGAAATCTACCAATGAAAGGGCCCGAGGATGTATGAGCACTTCAAGGGCCAGAAGGGCATGTCTACAATATTCAGAAAGGTGTGATCCCGTTTCTTGCATGCCTGCAAATTAAAAAGAAATAACAAGCATATAGTCAATATTTCACAATAATTTTGGGTTGTATAAATTAATGGACATCAAAGATAGTTTCTAGTCATAAAGAGCCGAGTTTCAATCAAATGCAACACGATAATCTGCAACATCTTTATCAAATTCTGCAGGAGCAAAGTTCCAAAAGCTTAATTTGTTAATACTTTGATTACCGCTGAGTCTACATAGAGATTTGAGCTCTGCAATTGTCTAATGCAGTTTTTTTCATTTTTCGAGGAACTAAAAAGAAAAATGTATATAAAAGAACAAAAATTACCTCTACGAAAAAGTTCTAGACCAAGGGATAAATATGGTGGGCAAACACGGCCGGGTGAAAGAAGAGAGGCTAAAAGTGCACGCAAGGAAGCTAGTTGAAAGTCTGCCCAGATTGGAATAGGTTCATCGCAAAGAAAAATACTTCTTTCCTCCTTGGCCCATCCTCCTTTACAGGCATTTGTAGCAACAGTAATAAGAAGATGATCCACATTTGCTCGCCAGCTCTCGGATCTCAATGAACCACCCTATTAATAATGGTTATGTTCTTGTGCATATCAAGATCAAAACAGAAAGAAAAAGAATAAAAATGAAACAACTACTGTTACAAAACATATTTTAGATTAAGAGGAAAAAACCAATTTCCTAAATAGGCAACATCATTAATATATTGTAGGAACAACTGATTCAAAAGCATAGCTATTAAACTCTAAAGACATTAATGCAGTCAAATCAAGATTATAAATGACAAAAAGGAAATAGTGGATCGAAGAATTACAGTTGCAGAACATATTTCAGATTAAGAAAAACTATTTTACCAAGATTTGCACGATCAATTACTATATTGTGGAAACCAGGACTGACTCATAAGTTTGATCGTTAAGATTCAAAAAAAAAAAAAAAAAAA